GCTGAGCAGCCGGAGTCAGGCCCGGGGCCCGAGCGGGCCCGCGCCACTACGCTAAGGGCGGCGGCCGGGCGGAGAATAATGCACACTGGGTAAAAACACATTTATATACGAACCTCCGAGAAAATTTTCCAACAATTCCTTCGTCCGACCACCATGCACCAGGACAGGAAACAGCCGCCCGGCCCCCAAACCCCGCAACACGCATACCCAGTCTGAAGCCCGCCCCCAGCTTCCATTGGGCTGACACTGCGTCACTCGTGAGGCAGCTCCTGCTTGCCATTGGGTCAAATTTAGGCGACGCGAGAGACCAGCTTATCCCCGCCCCATTTTGGTGACGTCAGGCCGTCAGAGCAGTGCCAGAGTGGCTTGCCTGAAATGCGGAATGGAAGTTCCTGAGTCTGAGTGGTTGGCAGAACCGCTCATCCCAGATCGGCACCGCCTCGCTGGCAAGTGAATTATGCAGATTCCGGGGCCCCAGCGGGAGGCGCCATTTTGTAGTGAGGGAGGGAGGCTGGTCCTTGTGACTAGCCGGGAGGGAGAAGGGGTGACTGGCGCCATTTTCCCCACAGGGGCTGGCCGGTGATCTGGGCTCTCCCGGTGGGCTTACTGGAGCACGTTCTGGGGACGGGTTGCGCTTTGCCTAGCGATTGCCGAGCATCGCCCGGTTGGGAGGGAAGGGGTTGGAGGGATAGGACAGGATGGGATGGATGCCTAGCCGCTCCCTGGGGGCTCTCGGTGTCACCTGAGGCCTTTGGGCCTGGATGAGGGCTTTGCTTTCTGAGAGCTGCCGTATGCCAGTCCACGACTGCCAACCCTCTCCGCGCCTGTCCAGTCTCCGGGGCATCGACAGTCCGGCGGGAGGGTGAGCCTCCTACCCCTGCCGAAGCGTCGGAGGAGCTTGGCAGCCGGGGATGGTTTGGGACTTTGCTGGGAGATACTGCGGTTCTTTGATCGCTCCCGTGTTCAGGTTCAGGATTTGAAGTCTTCCGTAATGCTCCTTTTTCACTTTATCTTTTGTATGTGTCGCGAATTAAAGGAAAGCATTGCCTCGGGTTCCCTGAACGTAGTGAGAGTGAATACACTGTGTTGGGTTTAGGCAATGATTTGTAGGTCTCCACCCCAATTTAAACCGCCCGGGTGGCTCGGTTGGAGCGTCCTGGACCCCGGTTCACCAAAAGGTTGGGGTTTGGTTCCCGGTCAGTGCGCAAACCTAGGTTGTGGTCGATCACTGCCCGGCGCCTACCGGAGGCATCCGACCAGTTGTTTCTCTCCGTCTCCCTCCCTCTCTCTAAAACGTATCCTCGGGTGAGGATCTAAAAATATAAACAGACCACCAAAAACACAAAAACTATCGAAAATACTAGCCATTTTTGGAGTATGTAGGAAGTTCATTTGCTTTGGCAGCCAGGCTGAGTTAAAATGGGATGAAAGTGCACAGACTCGAGGTTTGTTACATCGGCATTCAGGTGCAGAATTGAGTTACGAGAATGCGAAGGCCCCCGTTACCGGAGGTGCGCGTTCTGCCTGCAAAGATTGGAGAAAGCCGGATGATGTTAGACTTGGTGTCAAGCATTTCAAATGGTTATGAAGTGGCCAAAGGGGTAAATCTAAAGGAAGTTAAAAATCGCTAAGTGAGGACAATTTAAATGTCTTGATTGGCAGTGGAGCCTAGTTTGAGAATTTAACTGGTACCTTATTTCTTGGTGGAGCGTGGGGGACATAATTGATGCCCAAACGCCATTCGAAGGAAAATAGGGATTTTGAGTTTCGTTTGAAATTACTTAGACGTTGAAAGAAGTTATTATTTTTTTTACTCCCTTATAAAAATGAAAAATGTGACAAAAATTGGATTAGGTTATTTAAACTGGAGGAATTGACTCATTTAAAACAGCATCATACCCAATGCATAGATTCCTTTTGTCAGGGAATACAATATAAGAATTCAGATGAAAAACAAGGTGTACTTTTAAAAAAAGTGTTTTAATTTATATTTTCTGAGCCTTCCAGGTATTATAACTGTATTTGGTAATCAGAAATGTTACCAAACCCTGGTGGGGGGCGGGTAGCTCAGTTGGATAGTGTTCTGATAACCCTAAGATTGCCTGTTCCATCCCCCATCAGGGCACATACAAGAAGCTACCAATGAATGCATAACTAAGTGTGGAGCAACAAATCAATGTTAAAAAAGAAATGTTATTAAAGGGATCAGAATATTTGATGCAGTTCAGCTATTTATTACTAAGTCCCATACCTATAGACTATTCCTTAAAACACCAATAATTTTTATATTACCCTTTAATTGCAGATTGCAATCACAGAACCTTTTTTTTCTTTTAGTCCCCCTTTTTAAAAAATTTAAAATTACAGTTTACATTCAGTATTATTTTGTGTTAGTTTCAGGTGTACAGCATAGTGGTTAGCCAATCATACTTTACAGTGTTTCTCCTGGTATTTACATTACCCAACTGGCAGCATGCATAGTTATCGCTATATTTATTATTGACTATATTTGCTATGCTGTATTTGACATCCTCATGACTATTATGTAACTACCAGTTTGTACTCAATCCCTCCCACCTTTTACAGCATCCCTCAACCCCTTTCCCTTATGGCAATATGAATCTGTTCTATTTCTATGAGTCTTTTTTTTAAAAAATTGATTTCAGCCAGAACCAGTTTGGCTCAGTGGATAGAGCGTCGGCCTGCGGTCTGAGGGGTCCCGGGTTCGGTTCTGGTCAGGGGCATGTGCCTTGGTTGCGGGCACATCCCCAGTGGGGGGCGTGTAGGAGGCGGCTGGTTGATGTTTCTCTCATCGATGTTTTTGGCTCTCTCCCTCTCCCTTCCTCTCTGTAAAAAATCAATAAAATATATTTTAAAAATATTGATTTCAGAGAGGAAGGGAGAGGGAGAGAGAGAGAGAAACATCAATGATGAGAGAGAATCATTGATCGGCTGCCTCCTGCATACCCCCACATAGGGGATCAAGTCCACAACCCGGGTGTCCTGACCAGGAATTGAACTGTGACCTCTTGGTTCATAAACAGATGCTCAACCACTGAGCCACTGCAGCCGGGCTATGAGTCTGTTTCTTTTTTTCTTTCTTTCTTTTTTTTTATGAGTCTGTTTCTTACAGGACATCTTTGTATCCCCAGAACTGAGTAGTTGTAAAAATTAAATGGTGGTGGTGGATAGGATGCTGTAATTCTCACAACGCCCAGAGAGAAATCTTAATTCTGATTTTGTCACAGGCAATGGAACTTTGTGTTAACAGTACTTACCAGTGACTATAGAATTCAAATGTACAAAGTATTCAGGGTGATCCATAAGCTTCATATTTTCCCCAAATCACTTCCTGTCCCTTATATCTTGATTTAATGGCTTGGAAATATTTCATTTCCTACCAATGTGAATCTAGGCTCTTAAATAAAGCTGGACCATTTGGTCAATTTTCTCAGTAGGCTAATTTATCACTAGCCTGCTTTAAACCCTATTACCATAGTGTCTTTAAGAACATTGCAGTAACAAAACTTTCTGGAGAATTGGTTGAATTTGGCACATTTCTACCATGATAACTATTAAAATATTATCCTATAAAGGATAATATGCAGATTGACCGAACGGCAGAACAACCGGTCCCTATGACATGCACTGACCACCAGGGGGCAGATGCTCAACGTAAGAGCTGCCCCCTGGTGGTCAGTATGCTCCCACAGCGGGTGTGCCGCTCAGCCAGAAGCCAGGCTCACGGCTGGCCAGCACAGTGGTGGTGGGGTGGTGGTGGGAGTGTCTCCAGCCTCCGCTACAGTTGGACATCCCCCAAGGGCTCCCAGACTACAAGAGGGCGCAGGTCAGGCTAAGGGACACCACCCCTCCCCCCCAGTTCACAAATTTTGTGCACCAGGCCTCTAGTTATCTATATAAAAGGCTAACATGCTGTGTCCCCTCGGGAGTTTGATTGCTCTATATGACTTGTGCTGACCACCAGAGGACGGTGCCAATCGAAGGAAGGCCCTGGCCGGCAGCCAGCAGCTGGGGAAGGAAGGCCCTGGCTGGCAGCCGGAAAGCCTCAATCAGCCCTGATCACTGGACAGGCCTAGGGACCCTACCCGTGTATGAATTTCGTGAACAAGGCCTCTAGTATGTGTAGAAAAAATAAATGCATTAAATCCTTAAAAGTATCTCTGGGATTACTTGGGTTTATTAAAATATTTTTGCAATAAATTTGAATATTTTTAAATCATGGATTTGTAGATTTTTAAACACTCAAGAGTTTTATTTTAATTAAAATCTTTATTTCTGAAAGTATTATATATGTCCCCTTCTTTCTCCCATTGATCCCTTTCAGCCCACCTCCGCCTCAGGTCTTCACCACCCTACTGTCTGTGTCCATGGGCTATTCATATATGCATACAAGTTCTTTGGTTGATCACCTCCCATCCTCCCCTGCCTTCCCTCTGAGATTCCCCCACTCTGTCCCATGCTTCCATGTTTCTGAATCTACTCTGTTCATCAGTTTATTTTGTTAATTAGATTCCACATATGAGTGAACACTCAAGAATTTTAAACCAAACTAGTAGCTTGCTCTGCATAGGTAGATGTGGCTGTAAGTGTATCACTTGTCTCAGAACCTGTTGCCTCTTCTGTAAGATAAAACCACTTAGGCATGGTGTGATTGGCAGGATATCTGAGAATGCAGGTGAACAAATGCAGCTCAGTGCCTATCAGAGATACGCTCAAGTACAATGGAACCTCAGTTTTCGAACTTAATTCATTTGGGAAGGCTGTTCAAGAAGTGATTTATTTGAAAACTAATCATTTTTCCCCATTAGAAATAATGTAAATTGAATTAATCCTTTCAAGACCTCCAAATGATTCCTTGTTTTAACCTTTCTTATGTACTGTTTAATCTATAAATAAACACTTCTTAAATTTATCAAACCACTCCCTACTAGCCTTAAACAAAATTTTCATATATCACTGCTTCCAAAATATTATCCCTGGCTAACCGCTTTTCATTTATCAAATCAACAACAGTTTTGCTATCTATTAAATTGCCAGTGATTGTTGTTTTGTGAACACTTTCACACCCTTAGCAACATTAGCACTCTATGTTTTATAATTGTGCTAATCATCAATTTCATCTGCAACAAAAGCATCTCTTCTTTGTTGCCTGGAGACAACGCTT